AGTAATACGCTCAAAAGCAGCAGGCATGGGATGATGATGATGATGATGATGATGATGAAATGTTTTGTGCGAAACTCGCAATGTAGGAGGCCTCTTAGAAAAATGAAGGCACATCTCCATGGGCACAGCCCAGTGGCTGGTGTTTTAAACCTATTAATTCACCTCAGATTATCATTTACTTAGGGAATATCTTAATCATTTGAATAGCTAGCAGCTGCTCAAAGACGTCCCACAGTATGGAATAGTTGTGCAGTTGTTTGTTCAATATCTCCCACATACGTGAACTTGTGACTTGGCCACAGGTGCACCAGAACCGTCTAAACTCCCGTCTTCACATGTGTAACTCCTTTGGGGGCAAAATGGTGCCCTGGTAACCTTTTACCGGTTCTTGCCATTACTGTCTATCTGTTAACCTAGTATTTAAAACTTCCAGCAATATTAGATACCAAATAAGTTTTGCTGTTTAAGCAGCGAAACTCAATAACATACAGTTGAATATATTCTTCGCGTTGAGCATTGGGGTGCAATGGGTTTCATACAGATATATACTTGATCCGAATCCCAGCTGAGGGTTGTGCGAGGTTTCCTCTGTGTTTTCTTTCTCCCTCCAGGTGACTAATTGAAATATGCCTTAAATACTGGTCATGACCATCTCCTGCATTCTATGGAATACTCTGTTCATCATCATCATATAATGCCTTTGAATTATGTGCTATCTGTGGTTCATATAACTTTGTTAAGTAATTGATGGCATAGGGACTTAATATACATTATTAATTAATCAACAATGTCATCATAGTTGGTATAGTTTCGTTAAGAAAGCATGCCCCCTGCCTTCTGCAAAAGGCAGAGATGCAGGACAAGCCATGATTGTGCCGTCGGAACAGCTTCCTGTAAATCGGTGAGCTGGCCCTTTTACAGGCAGAAAAACGCAATATTTTATCAGCAGAAACGGTTGCTACACTGCGACAATAAATTCACATTTGACTGATCGCGACTAGCTGATCGGAATTCCTAAAAATGTCTGTATTCAGCTTCTTGTGTTCGTGCGTAGAATTAGCCTCCGGCCCTGTTACCAAATGGCTATTCATGCTTTTGTGCATAGCAAAAAACAAATAAACCTGCACTTCAGGTATTTTGTTCGATATCACCACAAAGAAATCATACTGCATACAGTATGTAAGTAATTGATACACAGCCACTGAACTCGGACATAGTACAGAAAAATGTTCTCTCTCACCTTCATTTACTGCCAACAAATTGTCCTCATGACGTAGTCATTTATGACAATACTGTGGCTGAAATATCTAGGAAACCTGAAACACTTCCTAGTTGAGATCATGACATGTTTTTAGAAAGTAGTTTCAGCTTGAAATAATTAATGCGGTTACTTCATGCAAGCTAATCCTGAGGCATTCTTAAGAAGCTGGATCTCCAAATGTAATACGCTTGAGGCAGAGTTTCCGATTTCAGAAAGTTAATGAATTAAAGAATTAAATGACAACAGAGGAAGCTTTGGATCCCACCCCTCAAAACACACAAATATTTCACGTCTATGTGAAATGTTTATCAAAATTTGGGATGTAAAATTGTTAATACTTGGAAAGTATTAATATAATTCAGTATTTTATAAGTCACGCGAATAAATATTAGATTTTATTGATCATTCTTTGTTTATTGATAATATTAATTCTATTTGCGGTAATTTTCATATGAGGCGGATAAAAATTAATTTGTCTTAAATTAGAAGTCATTCTATTGGCAGGAACGTGAATAAGGAAGTGTGTCTATAAATAGTTTCTGTTTTGACTTGTTTAGCACCATTTGTAACATCATTATTTACAATGAAATCTCTTAATAAAAATGCATTTATTTTCTAATTTTACATTGAAATTAAACATATCGATGGAAATGGACAGCAGAGGGGCTAGTACCTGCTGCCATTAAAATGACATTTCCGTGTGTGTGATAAAGTCTGTCTGGGAAATGTTTTAGGAACTCTTAAACCAATGTTCTTTAAGCAATGTTGGATAAAGGCATATCTCACGCTTAAACATGACGATGCTCAGGGAGTACTATACAATCAACTTTATTTTTGCAAAGCACACAACTGCAAACGTGAGAGATCCTAGTGATTGCCTGACGAGGAACCAACTTAGCTGTAGGCACACTTCTTCTTCTTCTTACGATTTTCATGAAATCATCCGTAGGCGGCAAAATTGTCCAGATCGAAGCACTGGGCCCAAAACTGATCCATGGAGGTGTATACATGGAGCAGCACACTACGAAGGCTGTGGTTCTCGTCTGGGTAGCTCTGCAAGACAATAATTCGGTATGAGATACACATGGGGGAGGGGGAAGTGCGGGAAGGTAATCCAGCTTAAGCGACGAAAAATGGGGCTACATTCAAACAATCCAGCATGAGTGACGAACAGGCAACATTGCATTCAAACAATCCAGCATGAGTATTGAAATCATTCAAACAATTCATCAGAAAGGACGAATATGAAACTTTGCATTCAAACAATCAGCATAAGTGATGAAAGACAGTAAAAGAATCCATCAGAAGCGACGAATAGGAAAAATTGCATTCAAATAATCAATCAGTAGCGACGAATAGTAAAAATTATATTCAAATAATCCAGAATAAGTGACGAATGGGTAAGACAACATTCAAATAATCCAGTATAAGATCGAAATTTTAGAAGAAGTGCAGGAAAATGATGCTGCATAAGAACAAAATGGCGGGTCTGCTATCAGACAAGCAAACTGAAGCGCAAGAAATAATCCAGCATAAGCGAGAGAGAAGTGCAGAAGAAGCAACAAACAGGTGATGCGCAGGTAATATAGCAGAAACGAGAGGAGATTGGAAGAAAACTCTCGAACACAGCAGAGAGACAGTTGCAGGCCAGCAATCTCGCACACACAACAAAGAGGAAAAGTAATCATTATTATATAAGCGAGCGAGAAGTACAAGAAAGTAATTAGCAAGACAAAGAATTTAGATCGAGCATCAGAGGTTATATAGCTTGGAATTAGAAAGAAAGGATTGTCCTGCAATATATGGTGGTAAAGGCTGTACACAAAGTGGTCGAAGCCTATCCATATTTGTCTGGTCGATCACAGATGCCGCGCCGCCTAAGGTATGAACCGCTTATTTGCGTTGTGGGTTCGAAACATGGATGCCTGTGTTTATTCTGTGTTTGTGTTTGCCTGTGTGTGCAGCGACCTTACGATGGGCTGATCCCCTTTCCAAGGATAACTTCTGACTCTCTATAAGATTAACAACTGAAGTCAAACGATGTAATTCACAGATGCCCTCTACTTCAGAGGGACCAAGAGAATATTCGAATGAATGTATACATATTTGTCTGGAGTATCAGAGAAAAGTTACAGAACTTTATAGTACACCAAGTGGGTGAGGAGACTGAACCCGGGTAACTTCCAAATTCAGGCCAGACGAGCTGTCGGTTTTATTTATTTGTTGTTTACTTAGTGGTGCTCTGGTTGTCTCAGACTGTAGCATCCACTGTTATGGTGAATAATGAAGAATGAATTGGAAGTGATGTGGAAAGAAGCTGTTGTGGCTTAATTTAAGGCACTATTTTTCTCATGGGGTGAGACTGAGCCCGACTGGTCCTGCTGCCACTTTTTGGCCTGTTCTTCCAGCCCCAGACGAATGATGATGATGATTGTGGAGCAGACAGTGGAATGAAAATTTGCAGGGGAAACCGAAGTACTCGGAGAAGACCTGCCTCAGTGTCACTCTGTCCACCACAAATCCCACATAACCTGAAGCGGACTCGAAAACGGGCCGCCGCGGTGGGAAGCCGGCGACTAACCGCAAAGCCATGGCACGGCCTTTTGAGCCACTAACACGGAGTTGGCCTGGGGGGACTGAGGAAACAATGAGAAACGCCCTCTGAACCGAGATTTTAACCCGTTTCCTTCCGAACACGATACAGGAATACTTCCGTCTCGACCACGATGTTGGTGGTTTGTACGAAGAAACGTAGATGGAGGCAGGAGTCTATTGGAAGCCCAGATAAGCTGAAGAATTTACTGTAATGCACCCTTCCGACTAAGTGACTGCCACACTGGAGTACTACAGAGGCCATCCAGCAGCAGATCGAATAACATGGGAACATAAATATGAATGGCGATAAAATATGGCTTTTGGAAAAAGGCGCTTGTGACTTGTTTTAAGTTACCATTTCCATATTCGCCTGCGCCGCTGAGCAAAGCCACGCAGGTACGGTAGGGTAGCCAGCTGGGACCTGAATGGGGTTCTTTATGACTAAAATTCTAGTGCGTTAACGTCAGCCTAGGAACCAGGGGGAGTTGTATAATTAGCAAGTGATTGGAAATATGAAGAAGAGACCAGTGAAAAAGAGAGAGCAAGGAGTCGAGAGGCGAGGGAGGCATAAGAGACTGCCTCGCCGATGTTCTGGATACAATCGATACTGGCATTAGTGGCCCTAAGCAGCCCTAAGTGACCATGGCTGGATACAGTTACCTGGAGCCTACTGGAAGCAGGCCTTTATGATTATTTGATTAACGTACTGTGCGTTTCTTGATGTAGTATTACATTGCTTATTTGGGGTTCTTTACGATATACGGGATGTTCTATTTTGAGGGGTTTTCTTACTACCATTATATAAGCAGCTAAATCCATGGAGCCCAGTTCCTCTCAAGGAAAGGCTAACTGCTCAGACATGCCAGCAATGCTCTCTGCAGAGAGATTCTGATAAGATTTTATATTCAGGGTTAATTCTGTTCAAGAAATCAAAGGAATGTTTTCAGTGGTGTCACTGGTAACGTAAAGGTAAAAAGGTAAAATTACCCTGTAATAAAAGCAAATGTGTCCCTGTGCTTAACTAATTAAGCACTATGCATTAAGGTGTACGGGGGAGTGGATGTATAGATCTACATTAAAATTCTCCTGTGCTGCTTCAATTAAGCACAATACCATGAAGACGTGTGGAGGAGTTAAGATATAGTTCGAACATTCTTGACCTCGACATTAGACGAAGAAGAATGGTCAGCTTCACGTCCTGGTAGCCTTACCCCAGAGAAAGAGCCTTTTGTACCCACAGCATAGGAGGCTGTATGTATGTGCTCCAGAGGCGGTGTGGAAGCTTTGGAATACACAGAAGTATCTTTCGCCTGAAGGGAATCGAACCACTGCCGTCGAGTCTGTAACCTGTAGCTAAACAAAATGAGCTATCCCAGCCCCAGGTAGTGACTGATGGATTGTAAAATACAGAAATTAAATATGAGAAATTGATGAAATTTTATGGAAGAATAATTTCGAAAAGAAGTTTAAATTGCCCGTTTCAGTTGGAATCTGGCTATACATACTTTAGCCGTTTCAGAATAAATGGACATGCAAGGTCTCATGAATGCAGCGTTTTAAATTTTGCCTTAACTCCGGCAGGTGGTTTATGTTGTGTCTGTGTTATACATCTTGCCTTTTGTTGGTTCTGGTGTCCGAAGATAAGGACTAGTTCTGTCGATTGTGCCCAACCGAGGAGTCTTCTTAACCTTCAAAACTCCTAAATGTTGTATCAAAATAGGAAGATGGTTAATGTCCAAAAAGTCGCTCGCTGTAATCACATGTCATAGTCACAAAATTAGTTATTACGGCAGAGCCTCGAGTTCCAACAGGAGCACCGCTGTTTTCAGGCCGGTTCTTGTGATTACCAATCCTCCTACCGACTGTGATCAAGGCCCATTTCTCTTGAGGATAAAGCGCCCTGAGTGTTAAGCTCTCATCTGAACTCCATCTAATGCTCAAACTAAAATTGTCGGGCTCGATGTTTCCAGCCCTGATACTTGTGTGTGGCACAGCGTCCAGACCTGCTCTGGTGCCCACCCAACCTCTTATTCAATGGGTATTTCCCAGCAAGTGGAGCCTCCGGTGCGTGAAGCTCACCACTCATTGCAATCTAATGCCGAGGTAAAGAGTGATGGAGCTATACCTACATGGCACAAGGGCAACTTTGTTTTTCTATTGTACTTAAAGGAACACAGATGTGAATAGGACGTGATAATGTTTACTGGACACAATTATGAGTGAAGAAAAATTCTGAGAATATATCTTAGCGATATCAGCCCCGTTGCTTAAAAGTGTTCAGAACATTTCTTCTAGTTAACTCTATTGTGTTTACTGAGGGGGACGTTTCGGAAGACAGTGTGTTCTTTTTATATTGCGAAGCGTAGTTAAAGCCATATGGCACAGACTGCATACAAAGAAAACAACGGCATTGTCGACCTATCTGCGCTGAAAGTTCAGAACCTGATTTCTTCCTGTATCCATAGTTTACACAGCTGTGAGAATGTATAGTGTTGGTGTTTGCTCCGAAGAGGAGCGTACCATGGAGATTAAAGAAGACACAATATGTTTGAATTCTGAGTATGATTAAATCACGAAAGATGAGATGGACGGAGCGTGTAGCACTAATGGGATAAATGAGATATTCATAGAATATGTTGTTGGAAACATCTGAAGGTAAGGGTTCACTTGGAAAACCTAGGTGTGGATGGGAGGAAAACTTATTTAAATAAATTGGTTGAAATAGTGGAATTTCACTATTCCTCAGTACAGAGTCCAGTGGTGGACCCTTGATAGTAAGGTACTGAATCTGTGGGTTCCATAAAATCAATACCACGAAATTTCCAGTCCCCTTGATGAATGCTGTTGTTGGCATCATAATATTACAAAGCATTTTTACATTGTTTCATAACGTGTTTAGACTGCTAACCGTCAATGGTTACAATGTAAAAGAATCAGCAGAAATTAATTGTCATGAAACACAAGAAAAAGAACGTGCTTGTAAAGAAGGAAAATGTAGGTTTTGAGGTTCTCACAGCGGTGGTTAAGGTGAGTTCTATCTTCTGGAATATAACGCCGTGTAGTCCGTTAAAGTCAACCGAAAGTCGCCTCCAACTTACGGGTTATAATTTGTATTTAACGAGTAAACAACATTACGCCCGCTTTATTAGAAATTAATTATAAATTTAGTAAAAAATGAATATATTACGTGAACCACTGGCCGGAAAAGGGGGGCCAGAGCCGCAACTGACGTCTCGCATTCCTTTGTCACCCGGTTTCACAGTATTTCACAGAAAATTCTTTCAAATCAAGCGAAGGACACATAAGCACGTCTCTTGGCCGGAAGGTCTGTGGCCAGGAAGGAATTGCCGACCTTAAGGTTTTCTCTGAGCGAACAACATTTCTAACGTCGCGAGAAGATTTTGATAAATTTTGGGCACCGGGAGGTAGAAGCTGTTTTGGGCATTCGAATTCGAGCTGTCGCTCAGAGGGTCGTGTGCGAAGGAGTTCTGATGGCGCCAGTGATCATCATATTTATTATTTGCGGCTCGAGTGAGTACCTTGCCTGTGTTCGGGTCACTGATTGGTTGTGAGAGCACAAGGTTGAACTCAGTGATTGTTAGGATATGAACTCTGGTTTAATGATGGTTTGGTTCGTACCATTAGGTTTAATAGAATGAGTGCAATGGATATTTAGAAGCCTTTCAGGTGTGAGGCGTAAGGCTGTATATAAGGCTGCTTGTATTTAATTGTTGCATAATTATATTTTTTGTTTTTGTTGTTTAACACGTTGAGTCGTTTGTTGGTTTATTCTGTAATTATTAGTTCACGGGACGAGGTGAGAGATATGAACAAACTTCGGTAGGAGACGAGTATAGTTAATGAGTCCTTGGGCGCCACAACAAATTGGTGACAGCGTTTTGAGGCCCTAATAAAGTGGCTGGCAGCGGCGAGATACACGTATGAAGAATTTGGGTGTCGCAACTGTGAGGCACAACACAAGACACTGAAGCACAGTCCAGCTTGAAGCTGGTAGCAAGCAAAAGTGCTACTTGCTGCCTGCTTCACGCTGGTTTCTTGTTTCGCTTATTCTTCGACCCTGAAGATGGAGACAATGTGTTCCTCCGAGACGTCGGTTGACTTCAAACGGCCCACGTGGCGGTATATCCCAGAACTAGAACCCTTAAAAGGCAAAAGACTTTGTAAAATGTGTCGTTTTGTTATCCGTTTGTCGCGACGCCACTGCATGAAGCGGGGGTATTTATTGACTGGTTGATCGAATATCAGCTTCACCAGAATGACTCTGCCCGAGAGTTTCAACAATTTTAGTGAATTTAACACTTTGATTTGAAAGGATCTTGTAATCTGGTGGACCAAAGGGAGCAGCATTTATTTACTTATGATAGCATATTTACAATTTTCAAGCATGTGTAAATGTAGATTTGGTGTAATAGTCACCCAGCAAGTGGCCGGGAGTGTGCTTTTACTTTCATTCCCATTTAACATCGTCTTATGTGCACGCGCATGCTCACAACATTAGCGGACACACGAGTATACTCACCTGTTGCCTGAAGAGGATGTTGGCGAGTTCCAGCGCTCTGCTGAGTTCCATTGCCTGCAGGTAGTGCACATTGTCATCCGCATTACCATGAAGCAAGTAGAACTGCTTTCCCCTGAAATTTTCTACCAGCCTCGTGACGTCACTATTGTTGTAGCCTTGTTGGTTGTCCTCTAACGAGGGCAGTCCCATGTATCGCTCCGTGTAGATGGAGTCTGAAACCAGCAAATTAACATTATTTCAGATCAAAGGATTACCGATGTCTTGGTCCTGTATTAGTACTGGAAGATCCCTTCTTCTGTCAGTATGTTGCCGTGGCAACACGTAATTTATATACAATTTTGTTTGAAACTTTGAGAGAGAGAAAATTTGTTTCTTTAGCTGATCTTCTCAAATACGAGACAGAAACGTGAAAGGGCTGTACTTTCAGGCGAGATATCTCGTGCTTAGAAGTGTGGGTTTCATATGCAGTATAATGCTACCGACAGGAATATAAGAGGAACGGCCATTCCTCCAAAACGAGTGTAGTTCACATGGACGCGTGATCGTAGCCTTCTTTGTCATGTAGGCAAGGACTGTCAGCTGATCCCATTACAAACTATACTCATAATTAATTCTGAATCGGAAGGAGCCAGAAGGTCTGTTAGGTTCGAAATGAATAGGAACTTTAGACTGGTTTTCTGTTACAGTTGACAATTTGAAGCTTGCCAATATTTCATAAAAATTCACTATAATATGACACGGGGAGTCATGCCGCCGCGTCGATCCTGGGGTTTTGTGTTTCATTTCTAGGTTCTTAATTGCTTTTGAATATACAGAGTGTAAATATATATATTACAACTCTCTATGGTAGATGAATGAGTGAATGAATGAATTAATTAATTAATGTACAAGGGGTGGATCCTCTTGGCCCTTGCACCGCGAGCACAGTGCTCTGTTGTAGATGGATTCAACGTGCTCATATTTTGTTCATACACCAATGTCCGGAAACACTTCCTTTTGGCACTAAGGGCCACAAAATTTTCCGAGAGGATGTATAAGTTTTAGGGGATGTTATCGTTGTTTCACATTGTGAAAGTTGCTTAAAATTGCGACCGCAGATTTCATTGTATGTTCTGCACCGCCTGGCCATGCTGAACTCTGCTGCTACCGCAATTCTTGCCACAATATCATGTTGTGTCTCCATTGGAGTCTTGTACACCAGGCTTTGCATGTACCACCAGAGAAATAAATCCAATGGAGTCAAGTCAGGTGAGCCAGGTAATCAGGTTATTGGTCCTCCACTTCCAATCCATTTGTTGCCAAAAGTTTCATCCAAATCCTCACGGACAACTTCAGTGCAGTGTGCCGGGGCGCCATCGTGCTGGAACCGCATTTCACGAAGGACTTCCAAAGGCACCGCTTCCAGTAGCTCGGGTAGGTCTCTTGGAGAAATGTTAGGTAAATGTCACCAGTAAACCGCAGAGGTAAGAGGTACGGCGTCCACCTTCACATTTCAGAGGCCCTAGCGCGTAAACGAAGCTTTTCCGAACATTGATATATTAAAAAATATGTTCAGACTGAACCCATCTATCCACCACAGAACGTTGTAATATATATTTCTTTACAGTCTGTATAATTTACGGTTTACGTCTGAAGTTCAGATAACTTATATGAACGCGCTCCACAATTTCAGAACTATTTACGCACCATAGTAGATCCAGCTGGTGACGGGAGCCACTGAAGCACCACATTTGAAGATGGCTAACCTATCGATTGCCAGTGTCATAGCCGTCGCGTATCCGCCATAGCTCCAGCCCCAGATGGCAGTGCGGGTCTGGTCAATGTATGGGAACCTACTCTGCAGTGTGCTGTAAAGTGAGAACACATAACTGACCTTGTGGTGTCTGAAGGGAAAATTAAATGTAAACTTTCCAACATGTACAGGTCTCTGCCGTATGCAAATAAATAGCATTAAGTAGTATGCTGCACCTGAACAACTAAGGTAGTGAATGAAAAGTAACCAAAAATGTCCCATTGTATAGCCTTTAAACAGCCTGTACTTATTCACGTGATCATAAAAGTCTTAGTTTCAGAATCCGCGTTTACATCAACGTTAACATAAAAGCCCGACAGATTAAGCTCCAAATAAGATTTCGCAGTCTATTTACCTAACTTCCGCGTAAACACAAGTTTCCAGATATGTCTATATCACATGGTGTCTTCCCTTGAGGCTGATAAGTACAATTTGGTTATTCTTTCCATAGAAAATTCATTCTAATTCAGAAATAAATGTTCTCATTCAAACCTCCAGTTTGCTTCGAATTCTTTTTCCATATTTATGCGATTGTTGGAGATTCTTTTAAGTCCTTACATGTTAATCCACCAGATAGAATTCTAACATTACGAAAAAAAAATTGTGTTCTTCGATGTACAAACGCTTATGAAAGACACGCCTGAAAGATATTGTAGCATATGAAACAAAGTCGTAGCCTATCTTCAGTCCAACATACTTATTTTAATAATTAATGAAATAAGTGTCCTCTCCTTCAGAATATTCTTGACAAATATGAGCAACGAGACGGGTAGCCGGATGAGGCGGACTAGATAGGTTTAATTGATTCAGTACTCCTCTTTGATGTGAGATTTTTAAAAATGATGCTAGCATAACTCGCTTGAATAATGGAAACTCTCCGGAGACGGGCACAAGAAGTAAGAACAATGGGGTTATATGGTCACACACATATATTTTTTTGGTGTATCTACGTTTATGTGTACAATCAGTCCATATTAAGGACTATAATTATATCTTATAAAATACTTAATCTAAGACTTAAAATACTAAGAAAGAACATGTCGGGAAAAGTAATCCTCCAGTGAACATTCTCCGGAATCTATTTCGAGTGTGACTTTGTTGTTGTATATATTTCATTTATGTGAGACACGTCGTTAGGTCGTTTGGCTATGCCTTTTCAGTCTTCTGGGCTCGTCTGTCTCGTTTAGTAGTGTGGTTGCCACTTTATTTGGGTGTGCCATTATCTTGTGTTTGTATTAGCGGCTGATGTTTGTGGTTTCTTCCCGTACTGTGGGTATGCCTAGATCGGCATGTAAGAATCGGGTTGGGAAGTACCACGGTGCATTGACTATGGCGCGAAGTACTTTATTTGAAATCTCTGAAACATTTCTATGTTAGATGTACTTGCAGTTCCCCATAATGGTGCGCCGTAAGTCCAAATATGCTTCAGTATTGTCTTGTAAACTAGAAGTTTATTTTCGGTAAGGTGGAGGAAGTTACAAGAAGCCGGAGCGAACTGAACAACGAGGACTTTCAAAATTGAAATCTATCTACCTATCTATCTATCTATCAGAAAAACTACACCAGTGGGGAAGAAGAACGACAGCAGACTGCCCATGGTGCCCAGGGATAAAAGGAACTCTAGACCACATGTTCCTGGACTGCCCCGCAGTGAAAAACATATGGAAAGCCACAACGACAATACTCAACAAACTCCTAGGCCCCCACCAACTACAAAAGAAAATTATACTTTATGGATACCCCCGTTTGAATGAAACGCCTCAACAACTGGCCAATTACCTAGTAGTATTAGCCAAGTCCACAATATACAAGACCTATATGGCGACAAATAACACCGACCGCAAAACAACAGACTACTGGAGACTGTTCCGATTAAGGCTACAGTATAGAATGCATATAGAAATGCACAAAAGCCATTACAGGAATGAAATGGAGAACTTTCAAGAATACTGGATGCACAAAAATATCTTAGGAAAACTTCAAAATGACAGAATTGTATTTAACCAAGAAATATTTGACAATAGCAGGGATATTAGAACATAAGTTTGAACTTTACTGTAAAAAGCACTATTATATTTAGTATAAGCCATTGTTAATTGTTATATTTACTGTTATTGTTATTATTGTTATTGATAATAAAATCATTACCAGTTAAAAAAATCTATCTATCTATCTATCTACCTATCTATCTATCTATCTATCTATCTATCTATCTATCTATCTATCTATCAAATACCAGCTTCCGTCAACAGAACACTGGTCACCAGCGCATATTCTGACGACATCACGGTATTTATTACAAAAGATGAAGGGTTTCCACACCTGCTGCAAAACTTCATGGTTTATGGTGCCATATCAGGAGCCACCTTAAACATACAAAAATCAAAAGTACTGTTTGTAGGCCGGTGGAGAAACAGAATAGACCACCCGTTGGGCTTCCAATGGAGTGAACAGGGCGGAAAGTACCTGGGAATCTACCTAGGCAACACAGACGATTGGCAGCAACAAAATTGAACACAACTTGAAATCAAGATACGAGCAATACTACAAAAGTGGGAACAAGTACCGCAAGCCACATCATGTCCTGAACGAAAACAAATACTCAACCAACTAGTTGGAGGCAAAATGGCACACGTACTGACCATACTCCAACCCACCACCACATTCCTAGACACGATTCACAAGCTGATAGTCAATTTCACTTTGTAGGGCAAACACTGGAAACATCCTAACTTCATATATGGAAGACTGGAAGACGGAGGAATAGGTGTGCACCACTTCCAAACCCGCATTAAAATCATACGCTTCATTTTTTTTTTAATTTTATAACCCTAAATAACAAAGAGAATGCGTGGTACGTCCAAGCAAACAACATCAGGATGTATGCCCCAGGCCTACACGCAGAAGCCGTGCTCAAACTGAACCTGAACCCAGCGCGCTTTCCCAGACTGACGCCCTTCTACACCAGCGCACTCGAAGCCTGGCACGGTACTTCCAAGCAAACAACATCACGATGTATGCCCCAGGCCTACACGCAGAAGGCGTGCTCAAACTGAACCTGAACCCAGCGCGCTTTCCCAGACTGACGCCCTTCTACACCAGCGCACTCGAAGCCTGGCACGGTACTTCCAAGCAAACAACATCAGGATATATGCCCCAGGCCTACACGCAGAAGCCGTGCTCAAACTGAACCTGAACCCAGCGCGCTTTCCAAGACTGACACCCTTCTACGCCAGTTCACCCGAAGCCTGGCACGACATTAGACCCATTGTTAGCCCCAACCTACAATCCCTTGAAGACCTAAGACATCCCCTTGCGCGACTCCACCCTCACGAACCCACATATTTCCGGCCACCAAGTTATGTTTGACGAAGCTTATAAGGCTCTAAATATAACTTACATAGGAGACCTCACCACGGAGAATGGCCACTGGAAAGAACTAAAAGACATCGACACAACACACCGATCCCAGCCGACCACCCGTAGACTGGCAGCAAACCTACGAAAAGCAGAAGCCTTTTTCCACCACAATTACCCAAACCTTTCACTGAAGACCACTTCTTTAACACAACCCCCCAGCGCTTACGTCATAAAACAACCCGACGGCCAACTGACTCCCCTCCCCATACCCAAACGCAGGGCATACAACCAATTATTTAAAGCCAACATAGACAAAAAAGCAATGGTCAACGGAGAATGTCATGGGCAACTGGGAAAACCCCAGCGGAAAGCAATATATCACCACCCCTTTATGAGCAAAGACGGCGACTTCTCATGGAGGATGCTACATAATAGGATAGCCACACCGCAACAGCTGCACAAATGGGGCAAGAAAGACACACCAGACGGCCCCTGGTGCCCAGGCACAACAGGGACGGCGGATCACATGTTCTTCGACTGCCCCACAGTCACAGCCTTCTGGGGCCGTCTAACCAAGACGCTCCATGACCTGCTGGGCCCCCACCCATTGCAAAATATGCAAATATTATATGGATACCCCAAAGTAGATACCACACCCCAACAACTTGCCAATTACTTAATAGCCCTAGCCAAGACCACCATATACAAGACATACCTAGCAACGAAGAACACCCACGAAAAACCACCAGACTATCAACGCATGTACCGTATAAGGCTGCAATTCCTACTGAATGTAGAGCTGCACTACAGCATATGGCAAGATGGCGTCGAGGCGTTCGAGAGGTACTGGCTACACAAACACATATTTGGAAAAATTGAAGAGGGACGAATTATACTCAACAAACAGATCTAATACTACTGTATACATCAACGGCACGTAAAATTCAGTACACATTTAAATATATGTTATTTTATATTAATTGCCTTCATTTACATGTTGTGTTGTAAGAATCATTGTCATTATAAATGATACAAACTCCGTCCCAAGTGCAAACACTATATATTATATGTCTTTGATCTTGTTCTCTTCTACACTACATGTTTCGGCCTCTAACGACCATCATCAGGTGTATACTCTCATGTTACTGCCACACTGAACCCAGTCTAAAATTTAACATTTAAAAAACACATTGTTATTTTCTTCGTTATTATCAACATCTGCCTCCTTGATATCTGTCTGGTATGTAGATTATTTTGCACACGTCAATTTTGATTTTCCTGTAGTAGCACTATAAAATCTTTAGTTATAATTTTAAAATCCTTTAAAATTTTCTCTAAATTTAAAATTTAAAATTGTTAGGGTTACTCGCCCTATGTCTAAAGTGCTGCAGCGGCTAGTTCTTGTTTCCACACTGTACAGGTGTTATTCTGTGTAGTCTTCCTGTGTGCGTGCCGCTGCTTGTCTTTACTACGTGTGCTCTGTACACCTGAACAGTGTGGAAACAAGAACTAGCCGCTGCAGCACTTTAGACATAGGGCGAGTAACCCTAACAATTTTAAATTTTAAATTTAAAATTTAGAGAAAATTTTAAAGGATTTTAAAATTATAACTAAAGATTTTATAGTGCTACTACAGGAAAATCAAAATTGACGTGTGCAAAATAATCTACATACCAGACAGATATCAAGGAGGTAGATGTTGATAATAACGAAGAAAATAACAATGTGTTTTTTAAATGTTAAATTTTAGACTGGGTTCAGTGTGGCAGCAACGTAAGAGTATACACCTGATGATGGCCGTTAGAGGCCGAAACATGTAGTGTAGAAGAGAGCAAGATCAAAGACATATAATATATATTGTTTGCACTTGGGACGGAGTTTGTATCATTTATCGTGTAGAGTGCAACAGGATGCTTAAATATAATATCATTCTCATTGTTAACTACATATTGTTAAATAAATAAATAAATTTAACAAAAAATCTATCTATCTCTCTGTTTATTTATTCATCCATCCATCTATCTACAGTCTTTTTGTTGGATTTCGGCCGCTTTTTCATTTTCTTAATCCTATACACGGTAGGACTCCATTGGAAAGGGAATCAGCCTGTGGCAAGGCCGCTACCTGCACACAGGACAGCACAAACGCAGAATAAACGCACACAGATACCCACGATCCCAGGGTTCGAGCGAGCGAAAGTAGTTCATGACTTAGACCGCGTGACCACTGTGATCGGTCATAATTTGCACTCCCCGCCAGATGTCACTAACATGATAAAATCACCGATAATCTGATAAGCGGTGCAGATGAATCTCTCATGGGGAAAATAATAAAAAATGCATACAATTATTGTGGGAAGTCTGATGGGAAGAGAACATAAATGGGAGGATAATATTGAAATCGATTTTAAAGGNGTAATCTGAAGAGTGAACCCGACGGTCCGGCGACAGGCCCTTGTTAGCGCCGTGTTGAACCTTTGAGTAACTGCGCAACTCTTAGCTTCTGAAGAAGGAACCTGCTGCGTGGAGTGCACTCACATGGTAACCAAGATTTGGTCCTCTATCTCCACCGAGCCCAGGCGCCGGTACACCGAGAACTTCATGTCATCTCCCTTCAAACCTGATCCCCTGCCGTCAATCAGAGCGTATATGATGCTGCGGTTTGTGGTGAGGTAGGCGCCCCAGCCCAGTGTGAAGGCGTCAGATATCTGCACCGAGTTCGGTCCCCCGTACCTGTTAACAGATATCACATGAATTTGGTCGGGTTCAGTGAGGACGTTGAATTGGTGCATACATCACGGGAAACTCATCCTTCCGATGTGTAACCGAGGACGTGAATTTCCAAGGTGGCTAAGAAGGTGGAATTGTAGCACGTGTAGGGAATATTAGAAATGCATAAACATTTGTCTAAATTCATCTCAAATTGATAGAATTAAATTTACGTTGTAAAATATTGTTATCTAGAGTGTGACACCGTGTAGTTTGGTACCATTTCACCGAAGTGTTAGAGAAGCGTATGTCTCTCCATCTTCAAATGATAAAGATGGAGGCATGATGTTCCTCCGAAATGTCTGTGAACTTCTAGTAAATTGTGAGGAGTCATAACGTAGAAGACCGCGGGGGGGGACCTTAAATCTCACATTCCCTGAAGTTGCTCGCCGTTCCGGTGTAATTAGCACTTTTATATGGTACATCGAGCAGGCTGGTTTAGCGTTAAGCTTCAAACTTATATTCAGAAGTTTCTGGGCTGGGACACCAGCAGTCCACAGAGGCTCTTGGCAGTTTTCCGGAAGAGGCAAAGGCTGCTTCATTCCTAGTCTTATTTACCAATCATCCTAACACTCGGCGCTATACAGTGTAGAATGTAGACTCCATTCTTAGTTAATTTTGTTTCGCGACTTGGCCAGTATCTGGATACTGACAGTGTCGCAGAGTGAACCACAAGAATAATTTGTAATTATAGCCACGTTAATGGTGACGCGGTGAAGTCGGGTTCATGTTCTCTTCTCTAATATATAGGTTCTCTGAAAAAGTATAATGTGTAAGGGTGGCTTAACGAGTATTTTGTAACGTATTTATCAAGGAAGATGAAATGGTTATCTGTCGAATTTAGGGAAATGAGACAATGCATTTGGTTAAGTTACGATTTCGGTAGGCCGAGTTTACCTAGCATAGTAAGGAAGAAAAAGATAAAGTTTTCCATGTAGCTCTATGTTATGAAGGCGTATGGAGGGCTCGGCACTAACTGGAGGTGAGTTACCGGACATAATTGATAACAAGTGTCACTTAGTATATGGTCACACGATATTCACACAATAATATTTAAATGTTCCAAAGTTATGAAGAGAATTCCTGCTTGAATGATCATTTAGCTGAAAATTCCTGTTGGTAATGATTTCGCCGATTTAGCGGCTTACGTCAAATACCCACTAAGATCTTTTTTTAATCTACTCAGTATAGGATTGAAACTTTCGGAGTCCAAATTTGTAAACTGACCTTCGTGGACTGTGGCCTCCAATATCAACTGAGTAACTGGAGTCCTGCTGTATTACGGTGTGTCTATATTTCTTTCATTTTTAAAGCACCAAACACAGATATGAACTCTGACCCCTATACGTTGTCCTAAATCACGGACTTTAAGCAGTAGCTTAGTTAGTTAGAACTTATGAACATCAACAGACTACACTGAGTTTTATAGAGGCAGGGTGACAGCCGGCGAGTTGTATGGTAGCTCTCCACGCAGTATCGATGTGGCAGAAATTTAAGAAAATTCTTACTCCACTCAACAGTTTCAGAAATTATACATTAGTAGATTATGTAGGGAAGCTGGACCTGATGATTTGCATTCGCTTAGTTGGGGGTGGAGTCCGGCTGGGTCCACTCGGCACGGCGGCCACTGATTGGCCTATTGTACTTGCCCCGTGTGATTATGATGATGGAGAATTTGTTGGAATGAAGTTTGGCAGGGGAAACCGAAGTACTCGGAGAAAACCGCTCCAGCGCCACTTTGTCCACCACAAATCCCACTTGACCAGACACGGGATCGAACTCGGGCCGCTGCTGTGGGAAGCCAGCGACTAACCTCTTGAGCTATAGAGCGGCCTTGATTAATTGTAACTAATGCGAAACTGTCACGGGGCTAAATTATATATATATACAGAATGCCCCAGGAGGAATGTGCCAAACTTCGGGAGGGTGTTCCTTATGTTAAAGTATGCTGATATAACCCAAAACACCTATGTCCAAAGTTGAACGGTTACGGAGATAATGGCCAGAGAAAAGTGTGGTCTTCTGGCGGGTCCACGCACTGTAGCTGTCAGCTGGCTACTCTTATCTGTGTTTGTCCTTGAGTGTGGTGATGGCAGCTCACGTTAGCCCCATACACTCGCATACCAGAACGCGCAGTCAGTTTTTTGTTACGTCAGCCCTTGTCATTCATGTGTCATGTATAGTGCTTGGAACTCTTAACGACAACTTTGACATGGCGTGCGAGTTTTTTGTAGTTCAATTTAACAGCTTCATGTCACTCACAAGTTAGTTTTATGTTACGTACATTTTTAATATTACAGAAACCACATATTCCTGCCAATTTTAATATATATTTGGTAATCAACAAGTGTGTAACACCGATCAAAGATTCACACTTCTCTGGCCATTATTTCCGTAACCGTTCAACTTTGGACATAGGTGTTTTGGGTTATATCGGCATACTTTAACATAAGGAACACCCTCCCGAAGTTTGGCACATTCCTCCTGGGACACTCTGTATATATATATATATAAAGGGGGTGGTATAGTTTTGAAGACGAGCACATCGCGCTTTTTATCTCAGTATGTCCATCTGCTTCGTGCTCGTGCAAATTTAGCAAATTTAGAATTCCACGTTGTTTTAGTTTGGGTCAATCAGCCAGATTTTGAACCAGTAGCTTTGAGCCAGTACAGTCGTGATCGGAATAAGTCACATTCTATGCCCACTTTGGAGATGTAAGCTTACATGGTAAGATTAAAACATGTCAAAGGGAAATATTGTGTTTAGTTTTGTACTCTATTGAAATGGTTCTCATTACGGTTCAATGACGGACTTTTGTGAACACAATAAATAAATTTTGGCTTCCATATAACCAGGTAATATCATTACTGGTCAAGTAATCATCAGCTCTTTATTTAATAATTTTGCCAAAGAGTCTTGGTTGTTGTTTGTTTCTCTCTTAGTGCCACATGATTCATGTGACGACCATGTTACTGGCTCAGACTATACTATAGAACGATTACTGCATACTGTCACGTGTAGGGTGGTAAGCGTGACGAAAATAACGGGTTGGATTTATTTGACGTCACTATTGCAATCACACTCGGTTATATCAGTTCACACACTCAGCTCCTTCTGGATACCTAATCCCTCTCTGCTTCGTTCTCGAAAGCACTTTGGTTCACTACCGAGTCACTTCTTCCGCGTTCCGTCGTATTGTGCTTCTGAACTTCCACGGCTCGTTCCTGGTTGTAATTGTTAGGCGGCCGTGATAATGGACACCACGAAGGCTGTCACGTTGCGTATTTCTATTTTAAGTAATCCTTCCTGTGCAACCTACAATTCGTTGCCGTGGTTATCGGCTTTCAAAAGTGAAACAGTGAGTCACATTTGTGTAGCAATGGGCGCCTATTCTTACAGCGCTTGGGAATACTTTTGCCTAGACGTTGGCTGGCAGTGGACGTCTGGCTCCGACTCCGATACTCGGCTTTTAAGCCGTACGTCACAATAATCATCGACCCTTTCCTTCCACACCATTTCGTTAGTCAATAATCATTCCATCATCTGATGATCTATAATCTGAGCCCATGACAGTGTCGTTAAGTAGACCACAATAAATAATATAATGTGGCACTAAGAAATTAGAGCTGTTATTCAGCATTCTAGTGGAGGAACTGACAGGACGACGAAAATTTTCAGTGAAAATGTCAGGTCTGCAAGCTGAGATCTAAGCCCAGGACCTCCCGAACAAGATGCAGGAACACTAATCACTTGACCACGAAGCTCACTTCCTCTTAATCTGCATGAAAATGTGAGTGGCAAGATGCGTGTACAGGTCCTGATACGGACCTTAACGCTACTGTTCGCCTTCAGATTGTTGCTGTATACTTACACGTAGACTAACATGGGGTACTTTGTCTGACCGCTAGTGTCTGCTCCAGGTGGGAGCCAGAGGCGTGCCTTTGCAACGAATCCATCGGGCACATCCACGTCAACATTCACTATCTCCGGCAGGTCTCGACCTGCTATTTTTTGTCTCAGATTCTGGTTAATTTCCCACAGTGCGAGCAGGGACGCATCCTTCGCCCTGTACAGGGCCACGTGAGGCGGGTCCGGACCAGAGCATGTCAGCGCCAAGTAGCTGAGGTCGGTGCTGAACGAAGCAGAGGCGTACAGGCAGGCACGGCCTTCCAGAGTCTGCACGTCGCATGACAGGCAGCGGGGTGCGCTGCTGCCATCTGCTGCCACTGCATACACATGCCGTTGTGATGGCGAGAGCTCAGGCGTCGATTGATAGTATCTGTACGTAAAGGAGGAAAAGTAAAACAATTTGAGAGAGAGAACGTAGATGGAAGAAATGAAATACAAGTAATTATCTCACACAAAAAGGAAACAAGTTAATATGGGTAGAATATTTCCTGTCCTAAATCTAATCGTTCCTGGCACTATCCGGTTCAATTATTCTTGTGTATAATTACATGTGGGGCCACGCGGTAACGTAGTTGGTTGAGGTACTATCCTAAAAGCCGGAAGGGAGCGGGTTCGTTTCCCGGTGATGTCACTAGATTTTCAATTGATTTAATCTTTCCCGCCGCACTATGGTCCTAGGATCGACTTAGCCTCAAATAGAAATGAGTACCAGGAATCTTTCTGGGGCTAAAGGGCGGCCGGCGAGTAAAAGTGAAAATTTTACCGCCATCTGTGAGCCTCATGTCTAGAAAATATGGGAGCCTCAACATCTCACAACCCTATATGTCTCCAAGGCCTCCTACAGGGATTCCTTACTTACTTACTCATGGAGCTGAGCCCTTCTGGAGGAGACGCCAATTCTGCAGCTACTCAAGGATTTCCCAGCATTTTATGGAACCCGAAGATTCGTCACCGTGTTCACAAGAGCCCTCCAGTGGTCCCCTGAGCCAGATCTATCCAATCTATACCATCCCATCCTATCTCTCTAAGATCCATTCTAATATTGTCCACCCACCTACGCCTTGGTCTTTCTCCTTCTGGCTTTCCCACCAATATCCTATACGCATTCCTCGTCTCCCCCATTCGTGCTACATGACCTGCCCACCTCATCCTCCTTGACTTGATCATTCTAATTATACTTGGAGAAGAGTACAAGTTATGAAGCTCCTCATTATGCAGTTTTCTCCAACCTCCTGTCACTTCATCTCTCTTCGGTCCAAATATTCTCCTCAACACCCTGTTCTCAAACACCCTCAGTCTATGTTCCTCCCTTAATGTCAGAGACCAAGTTTCACACCCATACAGAACCACAGGCAAAATTATAGTTTTGTATATTCTAATTTTTATGTTCTTGGGCAACAGACGAGAAGACAAAAGGTTCTGCACTGAATGGTAGCAAGCATTACCCGCGTTCACTCGCCTCTTAATTTCCTCCTGAATCAGGTTTCGATCTGTTATCGTTGTTCCCAAATATCTGAACTGTGCCACATTTTCAAAACATCTTTTTCCTATCTTTATGTCATGATTTTGCCCTGCATTTTGGTGACGAGAACTTATTCAAGCAGGAGGCGAAATATTACGTTCTAAGATCCAGAATCAAATTAATTCTATTTGGCATAAGGAAAAATTGCCTGATCAGTGGAAGGAGTCTATTATTGTACCAGTTCACAAGAAGGGTGATAAAACTGACTGTAGTAATTATCGGGGGATATCACTGCTATCAACTTCATATAAAATTTTGTCCAATATTCTTTTTTCAAGGTTAAGTCCATATATAGATGAAATCATTGGGGCTACATGGATACCATTATATTTTGTATATAGTTACATGTACAGCAAATATATCAATGTTACAAATATAAAAGTGAAAGCCCTTAATACTGTATATGCACTCCACGTATCTTGTACAGCGAGTCGCAAACCAGCGCTAGATGCGTGCATTTCTGACTGGTATTCATTATTCAGTCAAATTTCAGTATTTTCTGTCGTATTGAAACCAAAAGAAAATTAAGTTTCATACTAACTGAAAATAGAGCTTATTTCTCTGAATAAAGAGCAGCTTTACGTTCCAATAATCTTAGGCCAATTAAGTGGCAATTAAGTACCAACACGTGTTAGAGAACTGGCGTCTTCTTAGATGTTTTAAAGAATAGTCGACATATGAATACTACAATGAATCATCGTTATCAATAGAATGTCCACAATTTATTGATTTAATAACTCTTAGTTTTTCAAGAAGGCTTGTACAACGTGGAGTTGGTTTTTCTTTTGCTTTGGCTGTACAGCCCCCTTAGGTCTGGCCTCTGATTTTTCAATTTCATGATTTTTTACAGACGGTAGGACTCCTTGAATGGATGCTCAGCTCGTAGCAGGGACTCTACCTGAACTTAGGACAACACACACACACAGAATAAACACGTAAACATAAAAACATCCATACCTTGTGTGGGATTCGAACCCACGATCCCGGCTTCCGAGCGAGCTAGCGAGCGAAGACAGTACATGCCTTAGGCCGATCGGCTACCGTGACCGGTGGACTTGGTTAGTAAAAATTATTGGTAGAAATTAATTGATACTAAAGATTCATTTACTGATTGAGACAGATTTAACTACATTCCGTACTACTAAGTAGCAAATCAACTCGCCCACTGGCTGGGCATTCAGTTATATACGGTACTGCAAGGCAGAAGAATAGATGAGATGTGAAGACAAGTATTAACTTTTCGAGAAGGTATCTGCTCCGTGGAGTTTGTTAGTAGCAAAGGAGATGTAATGTTAAAGAGTATTTGATATAAAATTTCAATTTTCTGGTGCAGAGAAATTTAATCACACTCGAAACTACCTTCCTAAGAAGCTAACAAAGAACCAATTCACTGATAGACTTGAAAGGATTCTGACGATGGCGTATACTGTACTTCTTTCGGCCTATTTTGGACTTCATCCATCGTCTAGTATGTAAAAGACAAAAGACCACGACGTTTCGGAAACTGAGTCTGTCTCCGTCTTCAGGTGGGTAGGGAAGGATAAACCTACTCAGTTGGGCCCGTTAGAAATCACTGGATTGAAACTAGCTCTTTCTAACGGGGCCAACTGAGTAGGTTTATCCTTCACTACCCATCTGAAGACAGAGACATATCCAGTCTCCGAAACGTTGTGGTCTTTCGTCTTTTACATACTAGACGATGGATGAAATCCAAAATAAGCCAAAAGAAGTAAACCAATTCACTGCCAGACAAGTAGGCTCATTCTACTGCGCAGGGCTTCAAGAAGACTCAGACTCAGTAAAGTTAATGGTGAAAGGCTTTCTTGGGTAGGTGATGGTTTTTCGGGTGGTCAGAGCATTCTATGCTTCCACGAAACCTGAGGGTCCTTCTTTATGTCCCCAAAGATTTCAATTAAACCGTGTCTAAACTAGCTGAACTGAGTGCTTCTTTTCCTATCCTTTTTCGTTTTCGACACAACTGAAATAACACATACATCCTTATTTTACTACACACGTCAACCTTTTGTAGTTTATTCCTCAGCTGTTACTCACATGGTGTCGTTGGTTTTATCCCATCCGTATATGTACGTTACCACGGAGCGTCCGAAAGTAAGTGGCGTTTCCATTGCCAATGATTCTCGTAGAGAAGCACGCCGGGAGAGCAGAGTAACTTGAGCGTAATTGCCTTGTGTGCTGCCTTGGTCTTGTGGCAACACTGTGGCTAGTCGTGCACCACTGCCATCGAAAGTTGGAGGCACGACTTCAAGCCAGCCGGCAGTTTCGGACAGCTGGTGTATCTAGACACACATATTGTTACATATTGTTTGGTTATGATGGTCGCAGTAGCACGCGCTTTTGGTGATTTTTATCCCTGATTTGTCTTGAAGTCATTCTAAGCCTGCTGCAGGTATAAATCTGCTGTGATTAATTCCACCAACATTAGAGCTATAAATATTAAATACCGCAATTTACAAAGATAACATAATGTTAAACTTCACAAAAAGTTTTGCCTTCTGTATGCTTAAATATTCAGTACGTCGAAAAATTGTTTCAATAGAATTTGGAAAAATAAATGAGATACATATCTGATACCACTTTAATATTTTGATAAGATGAATAGCATAGATATTGTATTCATACTTGTTCTTACGATGGTAGCCACTAGCATTAAACAGGCACAAAGTTACTTAATCATACAAGCATTGAAGTTCATGCCCTGAAACAAGGCACAAACAACTCAATGTATATTCTGATGTCGTCAGATAATACAAGGCCCCTGAATCTGCTGATATGCGGAAACAAAGGCCAAAGAAAGGGAGGGCCATGTGAAGGTCTGTACTCACGGTGTGGCAGTTGCCAGTACTCGCTGTGCATATCTGCAGCACTCCCAGATTCTGTACCCTGTTGGTCCAAACGACGGACACCTCGTAGTCATTTGCCCAGTCGACAGTGTACAGAATGTGGTCCCTGAAAAAATATGGCTGTCCGTTTGTCTGCGTTGCTCAATTAGATTTGGACGATTCTGCGATTAGTAATTGGCCCTTCGCTTTGAGGCACGGAACCTACTCTCCGGTACTATTAAACGGAACATGCATACCACAAGAGGAATCAATCATATACTTAGGCCTTCACCTGGACCGGCGGTTGACCTGGCCCACACATATTCCCGCCAAAAGGAAATAACTGGACATTAAATTTAGTCAGATGCATTGGCTAATTGGCAGAAAGTCAGAACTGTCTACTGAAAATAAACTTCGAGTATACAAGACAATACTGAAGCCTATTTGGACTTACGGCACACCATTATGGGGAACTGCAAGTACATCCAACATAGAAATGTTGCAGAGATTTCAAAATAAAGTGCTTCGCGCCATAGTCAATGCACCGTGGTACGTCCCAAACAGATTGCTACATGTCGATCTAGGCATAGCCGCAGTACGGGAAGAAACAACAAACATCAGCCGTAAATATAAATACAAGATAACAGCACATCCAAATGAACTGGCAACCACATTACGAGTATTAAACGACGCAGACGAGCCCAGAAGACTCAAAAGGCATAAGCCAACCGACCTAACGACGCGCTTCACATAAATGCAATACATACTGTAATAAAGTTACACTCGAAATAGATCCCTAGAGAATGCTCACTGGAGCATTACTCTCCCTGATATGTTCTTTCTTATTATTCAAGCCTTAGATTAAGCATTTCACAAGATGTACTTACAGTCCTTAATATGAACCGACTGTACAAATAAATGGAGATACATAAAAAAAAAGTAATTGGCTATTAAACGAGTTAATTTCGTATGCACCAAAATATGTGAGAAACTTCGGTGAATGGACAAGTGAAGCGGAATTGAGAATCGGAGTTCATCCAACAAGAAAGAAAGAAGGCCAGAAAATGTAACATTAAAATAGCGAAAGGGGAGAAGGAGGGAAAACAATAACAAACAGAGAGGGAAAAATAAAAGACGAAAAAGGAGAGGAATATATTGCAAATATAGGACAGAGAAAGGAAGAAAGAAAAAGAAATATGGAAGAAATACAGCTGCCTGGGTTCGACTCCCGACAAGGCAAGTTCCTTTTTTTATTTTCCACATCGTCCAGACCAATTCAGGCGCCCACCCAGCCTCCTATCCAATCGGTACTGGGGGCGATTTCCCCCGGGGTTGCAGCGGCCAGGGCTTCAAGCTGCCAAATCACCTTCATTTAGTGCCTAAGTCAAGAAGGATGCAGCTATGTCCACCTTCCCATACGTCTTCATGTCATAGTTCTTAATTAATTAAGCACAGAGACAACTTTACCATTTTTACCTTTACAGAAGAAACAGAAAACTAAAGAGAAAGGAGAAGAGAAAGAAATGAAGGAGCTAAAGCAAGAGACAGAGCGATACTCACAGTGAGACGACGTCTACAGGAGCCGGGAGATCCACGAAACTGAACGACGGTTTCGTAAGGTCCACCACATGGAGTGAGACCAGGGGGTTTGTTGTTCCGGGCTGCAACACAGAGGGTCGCAGAGGTTTGCATAATTATCAGACATTTTGGTTCCCATCAATATTGTGCACTAACTAGGTTTGTCAGCCACCCACCATTTTATGCAGTGGTGCATGGGGTAGGTTTCCTTGGGGATTCAGTTTGAAGCTGACCACTTACATGCATATAGTATTGAGATCTAGAATGCATGGACCTTTACCACAACGTTCCCCTGCCATCATGCAGTAATGCTTCGATACAAGGGCGAGTATACCCTTTATCTCTAATCCAGGAAGAAGTGAGAACAGGGAAGGAGGAAAACATTCCGAGGGACCTATTGGGCAGTAAATTTGAATGAATTGTGGCTTCGAATTGGGGTCAAACACAGATGTCGAACCTTTTGTTTCTGGTACTACATAGTTAATTTCAGTTAAACTAATTGGTGACTTTGTTGAGTCCCACTTGTAAAATATATTATCTTGCATGACATCATAACCATTCATTTCGATATTTCTGCTGGTTTACAGTTCGCATTCATTCCACCAGACTAAATCTGACCCCACATAGCTTCAGTAGTTGATGCAGTTTCGCAAATAGCCAAGAAAACAAATTAAAAATGTAAAAATTAATTCATATTCACGTATCTTAATCCGTTGTCTAATAATTCATGTATTGCGGAAAAGATACACATATAAACGTGTCGGTTTGGGTTTAAGAGGGCAGCAAACTGGAACAAAAACAGCCAAACGCCTGCAGTGTCTATCTAGGCTGACCCGCACACATTCAATATCAAGATGGTACCGGTTGAGCCAGGCGCTCCAAGTGAGAACTAAGAACCAGGGCTGCTTATCTAACAACGAGACTGTTTTTTGATTAAGCAGTATCAAGTAAAGATATCTTTAGTGTTTATAGGGACTCCGATGAATTCTGCCGTAAACAAATTATAGTGTGTGTGTGTGAATATGACCGATGTTCGAGTTAGGACCTGTCAGAAATATTTCATATTCCCTTTCTAACCGCATTGCAACAAGAACTGCTGTTATGTTGCAGCAATGAGGTGATTTGTAGAACAAGAGTGACATGGATAGGTGGGGAGAAACTGGCCAGAATTTATTTCAAGCCACTATCACGACATTTGGGGTCGTTTATTTCGTGACACTTAGTAACCTGCTAAGTTACGATATGTGTCAATACGTCTAACCAGTCAAGGAGGACTTGGAAGAGGTAGTCTTGGCCCTTTCTAAAATATTCGTATTCGTTCTTTCCACTTTACCAAAGATATGGCCATTTGGTCCTCTTCCGAGGCCCAGAATCTAGTCGGACCATCTCGACTTGCTCTTCCAATGTCTCTTTTCCTTCTGAGTCTATAATNGCGTGACGTCACCGCGGAGGGGAGTGGCGGGGAGCGCTACGTTACCGTGGAGAGGAGGGTGGAGGGGGGTTCTCAGTCGCGCAACATGTTACAATATCTTTTAAATTAGTAGAGTCTTCCTGTTTCTCGCTAATTATTTCATCATGAAACGGGTCCTGTCTTGAGTAACGTCGAAGAGTCTTGAGAAATGTCACTTGTTGAGTTTCCAATCATATCACGTTTTTTTCTTTGTGTTCAGATTTCCGATCAAAACGAAACTTGTTTCTTCAGAATTATTTTGTGTGTAAGTGAATAATTTTTACATGATTACCTAAAATATTTTACTCATACTTCAATTAATTTCATTGAAATTATTAATTTTATTTTTTAGTTCCTAAGATATTTGGAAATTTAACCAATTTAGTTATATAAGAATCAAATCAGTGGCCTGATTCATACTGTTTTCGAAATACGTATATCAATCTTCTTCTGCGGGCCATGGATGTAAGTATTCTAATCATCAGTTTTATATATTAAAATGTATACATATATATATATATGGAAAGCAAAT